AGTATCTCAGATAACCCTCAAGTACCTTTACGTAAAATTCAACAAACAAACCTATAATGTATATATTGCATAGAAATATCTGAAGAGGGTGAAACTTATATATATGTGTTGTGGTAATACAGTTGGGTGCAGGAATAACATGATTGTGAAATCTAGTTTTTATTCTCTTAGGCACAGCCTACGTAAATTGTCCAACAGTTCCAGTTGTTATTCCCGAAGACACAGCTTATGTAAATTGTCCAACAGTTCTAGTTGTTATTCCCGTAGATACAGTCTATGTAAATTGTCCAACAGTTCTAGTTGTTATTCCCGTAGGCACAGCCTACGTAAATTGTCCAACAGTTCCAGTTGTTATTCCCGTAGACACAGCCTATGTAAATTGTCCAACAGTTCTAGTTGTTATTCCCGTAGACACAGCCTATGTAAATTGTCCAACAGTTCTAGTTGTTATTCCCGTAGACACAAAATCATGTTATTCCTGCACCCAACTGTATTACCACAACACATATATATAAGTTTCACCCTCTTCAGATATTTCTATGCAATATATACATTATAGGTTTGTTTGTTGAATTTTACGTAAAGGTACTTGAGGGTTATCTGAGATACCTCTAACTTAGAAGTGACAGGCGAGAGGGAATGCAGCTAGTCTACACACCTAACGCCAAGTCTTGAGCTACTCTAATTGAATAGTAGAATTGACCATTACATTATAACGCCCCCAATTAGTTTAGTGATGGGAATTGAGCCCGCGAACTGCAGATCGTGAATCAGGTGTTCTAATGATTTGGGCTTTTGTTAGGACATTCTAAGCCCTTACATCGCAGATATTGTTAAAAATTCACTAACTGGAATAACATAGTTAAGAAAAATTAATGTGAATGTTAAAAAAAGGGCATTATCATGATTTTCTTATGGTATTGTTTCACTTCGCATTTCAGTTGTGACTCAGTGGGCCTTTTTTTAACTTAAATATCTTTAGACACTTTATTAGCATAGAGTCAACCAGAGGGCACAAATATTTTCTTCTGAGTAGCCATGCATAACATGAAGTCTCTCTGGCATTACTCAGCTTGATCAATACTTGCGAATTTAAAACTGGAAACTAAAGAAGGTTGAAAAATCCGTTTCAGTTTCAACTAAAAATATACATTTCCTTAAATCATGGTAAAACTCAGTTTGACAGTTTGTAGTTAAGCACAAAACTGCATAATGGGCTATTTGTGTTGGCAAAACTCAGAAAATTATGTATATATATATATAATATAAAATGGATTTATTTATACAAAAATTTCATAGTAACCTAGCTCCAATTAGAAAACAATTCAAAATAAAATCCAGGTGAAAGAGGAGATGGAACAAAGGAGTTAGGATCTCAATATATTTTATTTTTAAATACTCATTGGTTATATATATATTATTACGTAAATATTTTGTTAACCTTTTCTGGTGAACTGTAGAAATTTCACTATACATCAGTTTCATCATGTTGTCTACTACTTATTTCCAATATAATATAGCAATATGTTAATCATAGGTTCTGCTTGACCTTTAATACAAACGTTTTGAGAAGAGCCATTTCTCTGATTGGTCATGTAGCTTAAAAACCAAACTAGAAAAATATAATTGCAGATACTTGAAGAAATATTTCTAAAAAATATCATCCAGCGGTTCCTTTCACTTGCGGTTTCATTAACTATTAGTAGCAACCTTTGATGGTCACTGCTATATGATTTATACTTTGTTGATGTTGAATAGATTGATTTTTATCAAAGTTGTAGTTTCGGATATTTTACTTAATCATTCCAACAAGAACAAACTAATGATATTCATAGAGTTCAAGGAACCAAGCAATCTTTCCAGATCTTTAACTTCCTTATTCGTATGGGGAATATTAAATATTCCTTGACTTAGATGTAACATATTCAGATGACATTCATTAATTTATCATTGTTGCCCTGGATGCTTTAAGTTATTCTCTATAAATATTTATAGTGTAAGTTTGCAATATAGTAACTATAATAAAATATTGCCTTTGTAATGGACCGAAAAATATGTGATGCATTTACATTCATTTAATTTGGATTTATCGATTCGCTACTTCGGTGAATTAAATTAAATTCATATTCATGTGTAGCTAGCTAGCGAATGTACCTACTACATTTCTGTGAGAATTGATCGATTTTTTTTATCTATAGCTCAGTCCTCAGAGGATTTTAAATGCTTTTTCGTACTCTTGCCTTAGAATACTACCTGTACGAGAAAGCCTTTGGAAGAAATATAACTGACGTCTGTCAAAGTGAACCATTTTAGTAGAGTTTTAGAGAATTTTTAACTTATGTGGTTAACGATAGCACTTGACCTTCAGATTGTGCGGGTCATTAATTTTACTTATGATGTATAGCAGCCTGTAAAAATGTGAAATGTATTAAATTCCAAGGATTTCCTTTATTCGTTTTACTATATAGTCGTAATTAGATTATATTAAAATGGCTGTCTGAACTTTGAGCTGCTGTTGTCAGAAATTATTCTCGTTACCAGTGGTTAAAGTTTCTGGGCACAAGAGCTGAAATACCCATAGCTTTGCTCAGTAACAACAGGCAAAAAATAGTGCAATACGTAGTTTAAAATTTATGTAATTTAGGTCAGATATTTTTCAATTAAATTTGTTTGTAGTTATACACAAAGCTACACAATGGGCTATTTGTGCTCTGCCCACCACAGGTATTGAAACCCGGTTTCTAGCGTTGTAAGTCTGCCAACATATTGCTGTGCCACTGGGGGCTTAAGTTAAATAAAACTAACATCAGAATTTATAAAATTCTTCATTTCTAAAATATTGAATGCATTATTTAGTTCATGCCGGGCATGGTTTAATGGTTAGGGCGATCAACTCGTTCGAATCCTGTCACAGAAAATGCTCGACCTTTCAGTCGTGTAGGAATTACAATACGACGATCAAATCCACTTTTCGTTGGTAAAAGAGTAGCCAAAGAGTTGGCAGTGGGCAGTGTTGACTAGCTGTCTTCCCTCCATGCTGTCACTTTCAAATTACAGACGACTAGAGTAGATAGCCCTCGAGTAGCTTTGCGCGAAATGTAGTAAAACAATCGAAGATATATATATCATATTATGAAATTTAGGTGTGTTTTTTTGGTTATATGTATTTACGTCAAAGGATATCAATTTATGTTTTAAATCATATTGTCGGTTATTTCCGTGATTTTATATAAATATGATACAAAAAGAATTATTCTTTTCAAACGTTGTGTTTGCACAGTTTGGGTCATATTTTAGGTAATGTTATGGGAAAAATGTCCCTCAGTGGCACAGCGGTATGTCTGCGGACTTACAACGCTAGAAACCTGGTTTCGATACTAGTGGTGGGCAGAGCACCGATAGCTCATTGTGTAGCTTTGTGCTTAACAACAAATGAACTGAGAATAATTTTCACGCTATACCTTTTCACTTTAGAATTTATTTTTCTGGTGGTAATACTTGTTTAACACAGTTGTGTTTGATATTAAATTACATTAATAATACTAAATTTGTGACCCCAGTTATGTGCTGCATAAAATAAATATGTTTTTAGGCTTGCTGTCGTATTTCTTTCTACTGCCATAGATGTAAATT